CGCTCGTGACGGCACCGTCCCTTGCGTACCCCGATTTTTCCGTGCCATTCGTGTTGGACACCGACGCTAGCAATACGGGGATTGGGGGTGTTCTGCCCCAAAAAGTTGATGGCATTGAAAGGGTTGTTGCCTATGGTAGCAGAGTCTTGTCTCTTGCTGAACAAAGATACTGTGTGACCAGACGTGAGCTGCTGGCCATTGTTTTTTTTATTCAGCAATACAGGCCATACCTGTATGGTCGCGCCTCTCACAACGGTGTCAGCCGCACTTCCCGCCGCCTCAGCGCCGATGTTGGATCATGCAGATCCAATGGCCAGTGACGATTTGCTGGGGCTAACTTTGGCCGAATGGGGTCGGCACCAGGGCGAGGACATGTCGTTATTGAGGTTGCGTCGCCACGCGAATAATGCGGTTCTAAGACAGGGCAAATTTAATTCATTTGTCATGAAGCGCGGCTTGTTGATGCATTGGGATGCTGACTCGTGTCAACATAAAATCGTTGTGCCATCCGCCTTGCGATGCAAGGCCGTATGGGCGGCGCATGAGCGTTTATTGCACCTGGGTGTTCATAAGACCATTGGGTTGTTGCGGTTGCAATTTTTCTGGCCGGGCATGCTGCGCGACGTCACTGACATTTTGCTGGGATGCACCCATTGTGCGCAACGTAAACCACCGGCTAAACCGGCATGTCCACCCCTGCAACCCATTTCGGTCTCTCGTATAAATGAGTTGGTGGCTCTCGATATTTTGGGCCCTTTTCCTACTACGCCACGGGGTAATAAGTACCTTCTGGTTGGGGTAGAGTATTTTACACGGTGGCCTATGGCCTGGGCCCTCCCCAACCAGTCGGCGGCGGCCGTTGTGGACGCCTTTGTTCAAGGCTACGTCCTGGACAAGGGCGCACCAGAACGGTTGCTGACCGATCAGGGAAGAAATTTTTCGGGAGCCTTGCTGACTGATGTGTGCCGCCTGTTGGGCACTAAGAAAGTGCGCACTTCGCCCTACCATCCCCAGACCGACGGCATGGTGGAGCGCCTTCATAGAACTCTCACCGCTATGTTATGCCATCAGGTCGATGAATCCCACCTCGATTGGGACTTGCAGGTTCCGGGGGTCCTCGCCGCATACCGTATGGCACCTCACGCGGCGACGGGATTTTCCCCGTTCTTTCTAATGTACGGCAGGGATGCCTTTCCTCCCGCCGACGTTCGGCTGGAAATCGAACAGCCACCGCAAAAGTCAAAGCTCGTTGACCACTTGCGATTCAACCTCCGTAAGTTGGCCGAGGCACGGGAGGCCGCCATTGAAAATTCGGCTTCCCGCCAACGGGCGAATTTGCGACTGCGGGACCCTCGGTCGTACACGTATCGGTGGGCACCGGGAGACAGGGCATGGCTCCACTGCCCCCAGGTGCCGGTGTCCACGTCGGCCAAACTCCTCAGACCATGGCGAGGCCCGGTTGAGGTAGTGGAAGTCCTGCGTCCCCAATGTGTTAAAATTAGCTGGGGACGGCGTCGCTGGTGCGTTCACCCCTCTCGGTTAAAACCCTTCGTCACGCCACGCGTCCCTCCACAACACACACGACATGGGGGCCGAGTGTGCGACGCGTCCGACGAGCCGGATGTTGCCCCGTTGGTGCCTAACCCACAGCGCAGGCGTGTCATTCCTCCTGCAGATGACGCGGGAGTGACGGCTCCATGCAGGCCACGTTCGGCCTTAATGGACCGTGGAGCAGCAGGTGTCCCCGTGGAGATGCCTAAAGGCCCACCGGATGCTGACTCATCCTCCTCCTTCCCTTGTGCCGCCGACAAAGCCTGCCATCCCCTACGATGGTCCCGTGAAACGCACGCGCGCGAAATCTCGCCGGTTGTTATGTTTTTTTGGCATGTCTAGTGCCTTGTACATACGTTATGTTGTTAAGGGGGCTATTTATAGGGGTTTAATTGTTCTTGTTGCTCGTGAGGCACACTCACAATTCTTCTACCGTTGGTAATTTCGGAGTTTCCCATTGTTGCAGCCGGGACGGCTGGAGCTTCCGAAAGAGGAGGTGATGTAGAGATGTTAACTACGCACTGTTGCGTAACCTGCGTTGCCACCAGGGCAGTGCAGCATTACCCCTGGGTATAACGGTTGGGGTCAGTCGAGGTGAAACGGATCGTGGCCAGGGTTTGGTGCGAACCAATCAGACGGTTCCATGTGGGAATGTATGATTGGTTCTACCTGGCCACGAAGGGGTATAAGACGGGTGACCCAACGGACCTCGGGGAGTTCTCTCCCTGCACGAAGATAGAAGACTGGGCTGAAGCCTAGCTAGGACCCTGGACCAGCCTTTCAGCCCTTCTAAGGGCTAAGGCTCGGCATACCCAGTGGTCAGGACCCACCGGGCCAGCGGTGGGTCAGATAGCCTCCCCTAGGTCCTAGCCGGAGGACTAGGATAGCGGTAGACGTGTGAGTCCCGCCAGGTCCGGAGGCTGTACCTCCCTAGGGTATCGGGTGAGGGGACCGAATATCTCTCTGTGCGTGTTAAGCGTTGTATAAGGAAATAATACAATAAAGAGAGTGTGCCTCCTAAAGAAGTCTGCTCGTCCTTACAACACTACAATTGTATAGTGGTCCCCTGTATAGTAGTGTATAGTCGTGTATAGTAGTGCATAGTGTATAGTAGTGCATAGTGTATTGTAGTGCATAGTGTATAGTCGTGCATGGTTTATAATAGTGCATAGTGTATGGTATAGTGTATAGTCGTGTAGAGTAGTATATATTATTGTCGTGTATAGTAGTATAGTGTATAGCAGATTAGTGTGTAATGGCGTAGTGTATATTAGTGTAGTGTATATTGTGTAGTGTATATTGTGTAGTGTATAGTCTAGTGTATAGTGTAGTGTATAGTAGTTTGGTTTGAGTTACACACCCAACATCGAGTTCGCACGGAAACATTGCCCAAACTATAGGCTGGAAGCGTTCTGTTTGATTGCCGAGTCAACCTGTGACTGACATTGTATGAGGCGTGAATATTGCTGGGAGTGCGTCAGCATTGCCACGTGCTGGCTGCCTGCAAGGCGCGAGGCCTCCCCAGAGTGAGTCACAACGGGGCTCTCGCCCCTGGGCTCTCGCCCCTGGGCCAGCGTGACCACAGCGTGCCCCAGCAGCAGATTGGAGCCTGGCGCGCAGACCACCTGCTGACTGGAGAGAGACAATAATGATGACTCGTGATTGATGCAAGAATCTTTTAATTGTCTTAATTTAATTCAATAATGATAACTTGTGATTAATGTGAGAATCTGTGCATTGTTTCAATTGAATTTACGAATTGATATTCAATTAATAAAACCGTGTAAAAAACTACTTTACGTTAATCTCACGCAAAATCGCTCCTGATAATTATTCTGTGTGCATAATGATCGTTACGATCATATTCATACCAATGTAATAATTAATTTTAATCTATTATTATTCATGAACAACACCCATTTTTTTACTGTGTATATATGCGTCTACGTGATGGGGTGTGGCAATTTTTGTCCAATCGGAGCGCTGCTGCCGCTTGTTAAGCCATTTTCTTCACCTAATCAGTGACGTGTGCCGTCTGTGTGTGAGGAGTGTAATTGTGAACAATGTAGCCACATCAGACATTAGTATAGGGACTCATCTACATAGGAACGAGTTAGGTTCCAGAGCTGTCTGGAACCTAAAGTCCCAACTTTAATCCTGTCAATCCCAAACATGTTGTACGGCATGCCCACTAAACACGGGAAATGGCTACAGATGTACATGCCACTGGTTCTTCATGTTCTGCAGATGTACATTCCACTGGTTCTTCATGTTCTGCAAATGTAAATGCCACTGGTTCTTCACGGTCTGCAGATGTAAATGCCACTGGTTCTTCATGTTCTGTAGATGTAGATGCTACTGGTTCTTCACGTTCTGCAGATGTAGATGCCACTGGTTCTTCACATTCTGCAGATGTAGATGCCACCACGACCATCTATTGCATGGCGGTTGAACTTACGACCCTCGGTACGAACAGGAAACTGGACATACGGACAGGTTTGTTCGTTTCATCGCTTCACTGCAGCTCAAAGACTTAGTCCCTACAAGGCGCGCGTGTGTCTTGGTGAAGTTAGGATATTGTCTTGGCTTTGTTTTCCTTTAGCAATTGAGGTAGATATAGGAATAGGTTTTACCCTTTTAACTGGCACAAAAACTGACACCTTTATTCAAGGCATCATGTTTGCAATGACCACAACACAAGCAGTCAAAATGCAAACAAAAAAGACAACTCTGATAATATGCACTGTCCTTGAATTTGATTGGTCCACACCCGAGACAGCTTTTCTTAGAGCCTAGTCTCCATTGGTGTTGGACCAGAAGACGCCAAAAGGCGTACAACTCAAAAACAGCGCACTATCAGAGTACTGAGGGCTCGGGGTGAGCATTAACATTATGAGACCTCCTTTGCCAGAAACAAGATATAGGAATAGGTAGATGTTCAAGGGTTTGCTGGCCTCTTCAAACCCTCAGGGACATTTGAGCAGTGTGTTGGGAGGTGTAACACTCTGCATGATGTTGTATATATTTTGATAAAATGTTATTAATACAACTTGCCCTAACATCCACCAACTCTTACCATCAGAATTCCTATAAAAGAGCCCATGCAAATGTACGTACTCATCAATCCGTACTGGATGATCGTAAAAGCATCAATGGTCAAATCTCAGGATCACGTGATTAAACCAGAATGATAGGCAGCACCTCAAAGTGAATGCGTTCTCATCAAATGCGTATCAAATATCTAGAAAACGTCCACGATCGGATAAAACAATCACGTTATTAAAATAAAACAATAGGCTGTCTCGTGGTAACGTGACCATACACAATTCCCTTGTTGTGGTGTGTGAGGCGTGCAAGCTGGGATTCTTCTTGGCCCACAACCTGTACAGGGTACAGCTACAAATAGTGAGTGAGTGTAAAGTTCATGTTTCTCCTCCTTTCTTCTTTCCGTATAGACCCATAGAGACTTACAGAGACCCACAGAGACCCATAGAGACACAGAGCTGCTATCATTACGTGGCTTACACCCGGTTAAACAAACAACAACAAGCATAAATTTGTATTTGAACATTTTGGTGCCGCAACATCCCCGGGAAGCGTCTTGCAGACATCAAGCAGCGGGCTCGATGATCAGAGTCCTTTCTCAAAGATCTTGTGCATCTGCGGATACTTTGTCTTCAAATTCCAGAGCACCATCCAGAATTCTCTGGCCACACTGTCACCCTTATGGAACAGCATCGTTATCAGTTGAGATGCAGCTTCAAAGCCACCTTTATTTGTTTGAGTGGTCGAGACAGCCTGTGAATAAACATATCAAAAATAAAAAAAACGTTAAATTCGCATCATCTGAAGACGATTGCTTGTGTTGCGATCGAAACGTCGTGATATTTTTATTGTTTTTCTATCTACGTGGCTTTACCGAAAAGACCCAAAGAATAGCATTGCATAATTGTTAAGAGACAGCGTCTTTGCCATGTTACTGAGTGGTATAATACTCACCACAGCTATCAGCTTCCAACGCTGTTGCTGAGCACATTCTTAATCGAAATCACCAGCGCACTCGATATGCGCACCAAACGTACGTGTGTACGTGTGTGGCAGGGACGTACGGTCAGGGGAGGCAGGGGAGGCAGAGCCTTACCTGTCATACTCCAATGAAAATAGCTGTTATGATTTTTTTTCCCACTGATCTGTGTTATAAATGTAATTTCTATATGATTCCAATCATTACACAGGCACGCCCTTATTGCCCGCGCTCCCTACAGTTTCTGAGGGGTTGCGCAATCAGAGGGGACGCTGAGCGCGTCGCTGCCTCACCTCTCGTCTCTCCCTGTATTTGCAGCGGAGCTCTGCAAATTTGGCGATTTAGACGGTAAAAAATGATTGGAATCGTACAGAAATGACATAACACAGATCAGTGGAAAAATCTTAATTTTTATTTTATTATTTTTTTACTTTTCGTAACAGCTATTTTCATTGAAGCATGACAGGTGAGGCTCTGCCTCGCCTGCCTCCCCTGACCGCACGTCCCTGGTGTGTGGACGTTGCACTTCTTTGGCACCACCGTAAGTAGCCAAACTGCACCAATCGGAGGTATACGGGGGGAAGGACAACAAACTAAACAAAACAACAAGCAGCTGTTCTGAAGAAATTAGTTCATCAATCTAGATGATAAAAGTGCATCGCAGCTCACTGGTGGTTTCCGAATATCGAAAGGAAGAGACCCATAGGGACCGACAAAGATCCAGAGACTTATGTAGAGCCACAGAACCCCACAGAGACCCATAGAGACTCATACTCATATGTATGTACGTATGTTAAACTTCTTTCTGAAATTCAAGTGATCGCCTCTATTTATTTTGTTGAGTAAATTTTTTCATGAAACTGTGCGATGGCCAGATAAACTTAAACATAACTTATACAATTGCATTCGGTAGGGGGTTTTTTGACACAGAGATCCGCGGAAAATTTTATATTTTTTGGGATTATCCTCGACATTTGAATTATTCCCGCCACTAATGCGCAGATAATCGAGATTCTTACCGTTTAAACAACGAGAGATATAATAAGACATCTTTGATGGACTCACATTCATCTCGGCGAGTGTGAGGATCTCCTTCTCGAACAGCTTCATCAACACGGGCTGCACATCTCCCTGGATAGCCTCGACCAGCACCGTCATATTTTTCCGTATGCCATCGAACAGTTGCTCGTCCGAGCACGCGTTCAGTCTCCTGAAGGCCTCCTCCTTCGCCGCCGCCTCGCCACCAGGAGCGGTGCTGTGTTGAACATTCACGTCATGTCCCGGAGCTTTTTCTGTTTCATAAGAGAGAGAGAAAAACACAAACACAGGGGTGGCAGGGGAAGGACGACAAATCACACAACCGCAGAACAACAAGCAGTTCTAAAAAATGAGTTTAAAATGTAAACTAGTGGTGCAGTGTATCAGCGTGTAGTGTATAGCACAGTGTATAGACTAGTGGCTTCCTGACCAGCGTGGCGAAGTCTCGTAAAATACGACACTTTGTTGCCCTCAAATCACGTGGGGGATGGTCTTTATCCAGCAGAACATGGACAAAGCTAAAACTGCTCAACTACATTTTTCTTTGTTTTACCAGGTGTAAGACCCCACGAGGCTGCTGTGTAGCTTTTTTTCAGAAGCGACCTATTCACAAATGATAGCTCAACGAAGTGGCTTATCATCATCACGTGGAAATGTATAGCAGTAGCCAAATACTCTAAATGCGTGGTGATGTTGATTCTAAACGTGGAGGGAAAAACCAGAGGACCCGGAGAAAAATTCACGTGACCACAGTGAGAGAGACACGCAGACTCCAAATATACAGCAGGCGTCAGGGTCGGGATCGAACCCACGACCTCCTGTACACCAGGCGAGGGAGTTAACATCTCCTAGCCACCGTGGCGCCCCGTAGTGGCGAATGGCGGCTGTTATTTGGTGAGAGGGGTGGGGGCCTGAGGACATGCAGCTGGGTAAGTGTTACATTTTTATAACTTCATAATTTATTTTAAAATCTTTATTTGTATCTATTGTGTTTTTTTGTCAGCATTCAAAATGATGAACTGTAAAGAATTTGTCCGTTCGATGTCCCTTGCTTGGCAATAATAAACCAGGAAGAGGTGGCGTTAAGATATTCAAACACCAAGTACACACACACAGAGAGCTATGGCAAGGAATCATCAAATAGTGCAGTAACCCACACACAAACATCCCATGATAATAATGATGTAATGCATCGTCTTTGAAACTGGCATACTACACTAGCAACAGTATTATTCTGTATGTCCTTGTCCCTGTACAGCCACCACCACCACCAGTGTGTGAGTAGAGCAACACAAAAAGGTGAACAATACAGAGACAATGTCAAGTAACTGACCACTTATAGCTCGGGTTGAGCTGTTATATAGCTACAACTTCGATACTCGCATTGTCTTTGAACTGTTCGCCTTTGTGCGTTCTCTGGTCTACTAACACACTGCTAGGGGTGCAGAGACAAGGCCATACAGAAGGCTGTCTCTCGTGTAGTAGGCCAATCAGCTTCAAAGACAATGCCATACATTATTATTATTATCAGAGCATGTTTGCCTGTTTGGACACAAGTGTAGAGGTGTTATGGGAGGGGGACACGCGGTTGTAGGGCGGTGGCTACAAACACGTCCGCTACGGCCACCACCCTGGGGGGCTGTGGGGGACACTGTGATCCCTCCCAGCCCCACCCCTCAGAGAGGGACAGTATAAAAGGTTGGACCCGGAGAGCTGAGGGGAAGTTCGACTCAAGCAAGATGAAGAACGAGTCAAGAAAGAAGACCCAATACCTAGGCCAGACATGGGCAAAGTACGGCCCCCGGGCCGTATACGGCCCGTTGGGCTTTTTAATCCGGCCCGCCGAACTTGTCATGCAATGATTTTTCCACGTCATTTATATTAGTTCACACAAACACTCCATCCATCTGTTTCTGGCCCGGCCCCTCTGGCAAATTTTAGAACCCATTGTGGCCCGCGAGTCAAAAAATTTGCCCACCCCTGAGCTAGGCCCTGGAACTCCCTTGATCCGCTGTCCTTTTGAGGGCCGGGCAAGGCAAGCCAGGGGGTGCGACACCGGAGCCGCGAGGGCCAATGTCCTTCTGAGGGCCGGACTCGTGGGGCTGGTGATCGGGACCTGCGCCGAAGCTGGGCCAGGTCAGAAAGTTCGGTAGAGAGGGCCAGGTGTGAGGGAACCAGGGAGCTAGCGTGGGTAAAGCTCGGGGATCGTTCCCTCTGTAGAGTACGGGTGAAGAGGCCGTTATCTCTTCAAGTATTAGATTCGATACTGTAACAGAAGTGTTTGTAATAAATACGTGTTGCCTCTAAGAACAGTCTCCGACGTCGATAAGGCCACTACACACGTATGATGTGGGCAGCAGTTAATGCAGTACATGATGATACCTTGCAAAAGGCATAAAAAGTCTGAATTACATCTAAATACCACCTCCTGTTGTTATTATTGCCAGACAATGTTGTGTATATAAATCACACCTATTTGTTATTTTTCATCCATCTTAATTTTTGTATTCCTCAAGCTTCAAAACAAACAAACCACACAAAACAATTCGGCTTTTCGATACCGGGACGGGAGTCGATCGTGTGACAAGATTTGTTTTGTTCACTCACCAGGGCGATGTTTCGCGCCCGTGTGCCTCTTAGCAAGGAGGGCACCCACGTTTTGGTTCCACGACTGTAGCAACGCTGTCTGCCGTCTCTCGTGTAGAGGCCAATGAGTTCAAAACACTACGTGTTCTTATTATTGTTATTATTACGATTATTATTATCAAAGCAGTGTTTGCTTGCATTGTCCGGCAGAGACAAGGCGTTGAACAAGGCAGTCTCTCATGTAGGCCAATAAATTCCAAACACAACAACTTTTACGTTATTATCAAAGCTTATATGTTTGTTTGCATTGTCATTGTACTGTCCGTCTTTTAGGGTTGTTCTCAGGTCTAACATGGGTGCAGCGACAAGGCCATGAACAATTCTGTCTCTGGTGTAGGCCAGTGATTTACAAATGCAACAGAGCCATAACATCGTTAGTATTTCTTCAATATCAAAGCAGCAGCAGCCGTGTTTCGTTTTGCATTTCTTTACCACAAACGTGACGTGTGGTCGACGCACAGGCTGAGATCCACTCCGTCAGCTGGGGGTAGGCATCCTGCAGGTTTTCGAGAGCCCTCCAGAGCTTGAGGCACTCGTCCCTGTCGATGAACTCGTTGATCAAAAAGTTGGCACAGTCCACTCTCACCGTCATGTCGCAGGCCCTCTTGTATATGTTGCGAGAGATCAACTCCTTGCAGTCCAAGTAGTCGAGCAGGTACGTGGGGTCCCTGCCAATCCACTCTTTCAGTTTCAGTCTCTTCCCTTTGATCAGCTTGGCAGCCTTCAACTCGTCCATGTCTCGAACCTCTGGTGAGTAGTGGAGGAGACGCCACGCGGTGGTAAATACTGGTGTGCTGCTCTGTCTCTCCTATCTCTGTGTGCATGTGTATGTATAGTGGGGTAGTCCGGCCAAAGCAATCCCTTACCTCTGGTGGTGCTAGACGGTAACACTATGGTGGATGTGAGCAATGCCATGGAGGGAAGGCAAATTCCTATCGGCTAAACCCCTCATAGCGCTTGTAGCCACCACAGCGGCTAAATGGGTGCTCTGGATCGGTTCGAGGGGCTGGTAACCCGTCCACCTTCAATTCAACTACCACTAAACTAGTTTCAAAATATCGAACTAATCGTTTGCCGGAGGCCCTGGGGGGACAGGTATCTACGACTTATCCTGGCTACAAACCACTTGGCAGAATCAGGAAACTGAATCCTTCCCCTCGGGAGTTCCTCCACAAACAACAAAAAAATCACTGTCACTGGCCACGAGGAATGTTCAAACGCTGCCTGTTGAGGAGAGGCTGCCATTCCTCTGTCAGGAGCTGGACTGAAACCGCCTGGATCTCTGTGGTATTCAGGAGGTCCGGTGGACCTGCTCTGGCTCCTGCCACCATGAAGGGTGGACAGTCCTCTACTCGGGGCAGGAGACTGCCAAACAACAGGGTGTGGCTCTTCTTCTGAATAAAAGAATGAAGGGGGCGTGGGAGCGTGGTGGTGAGGTGTGGGAAGCTGTAAACCCCAGACTACTTTGGGCTCGCCTTCCCATCAACCGGAGGTGAGGAGTGGTGGTGGTTACTTATGCCCCCCCAAAGATGAATATCAGTGAAGGGATGCAGGCGATGCTGATGAGTCACATGCCTTTTATGACCCCCTATGACAGGTGCTAGCTATAGTGGCCCCTCAGGTTAGAGTCATCCTGTTAGATGGCTTTAATGCCTGAGAGGGTCATGATGCTGGCACCTGGTCTGGTGTGATTGGAAGGCATGGGCCAGATCAGCTCAATAACAATGGTAGCAGGCTGCTAGACTTTTGTGCAGCCCATGGGCTTGTAATTACCAACACGCTGTGGGGCCTCCTTTGCCAGTGCCAAAATATGAGAATAGGTTTTCCCCTTTCTTCTGGCAACAAAACAGGTGTTAAGATGTTAAAACACCTAACTTAAACCTTTTACAAGAAATCATGTCTGCAGTAACCACAAAACTTGTGGTCAGAATGCAAACAAAAAACGTACTCTGATAATATATGCATTGTATTTGAAACTGATTGGTCCCCACCAGAGACAGCTTTCTGGCAACAAAACTTTGATAGTGCATTGTCTTTGAGCTGTACACCTATTGGCGTCCTCTGGTCTAGCACCAATTGGGTCGAGGCTCAAAAGAAAGCCATCTCTAGTGTGGAACAATACAGTTTCAAGGACAATGCATATATTATCTGTTCGTTTTTTTATTGCATTCTGAGCACAAGTATTGTGGTTACTGCAGACATATTTTTTTGAAAAAGGCTCTAGTTTGGTGTTTCAACATCTTAACACCTATATTCTTAGTTCTTTCGTGACTTTACCGAAAGAACCAAGAATATGAATCACTGCAGTCACGAAAGCTTTAAAACAAAATCTTAACACCAGTTTTATTGCCAGAAAAAAGGGGGAAACCTATTCTCATACTGACACGCTGTTCCAACATCAGCGCATCCACACAACATCATGGATGCATGCTGCGTCCAAGCAAGAACATTTGCCGAACTATATAGCGATGGAACAGCGGTTGCGGGCCCATGTCCTTGACACCAGGACCTACCATGGAGCTGATATGCCCACTAACCATCAGTTTGTCAGATGTGCATGCCATTCTTCCACTCCACTGGTGGGTGTCCATCTAGGACACCATTGAAACCAACGGCGGCCTGGTCTCAGCTGGGGGGGGGGGGGGGGGGGGGGGGGGGGGAGGCACGCACACTGCCGGGGGGGAGGTGGGGGGCAGGAAAGCAAGCAGGCTGGGAAGCAGCAGAAAGCTGAGGATGCGGGCAAGGAAGCAATAACCTAACGCAGTTATGGTTTTACCTGGTTAAGAACATCCTTCCCAGCCTGCTTGTTTCCCCGCCCCCCACCTCCCCCGGCAGTGTGCCGTGCCTTAGCGTCTTCTTCCCCCCCCTTTGTTCTCCCTTCCCCCGTGCTCTAGCAACTCACCACTCCTCCTGCCCCACGCATTCCCTCCTCCCTATCTCTCCTCCTTGGCTCCTCCCCTCCCCCCGTCTCTTACCTATATAGCCTCTTGCCTACAACAGCTCTCTTGCCCACTTCAGCGATTGTTTCTTGCTGTGGTTGTCCCACCTGATGACGGACGCTTGTGTTGCGCTCGAAACGTGGTCGTGATTTAAATTAATTTATTTTGTTTTGTACCTAGGTGAATTCACCGAAAGAACCAAAGAGTATGGATCCCTGCCAGTGACGAAAACTTCAAATCTGGATATACATAGATACCCATGTAGAGACATAGAGACCCAAATAGACATAGAGACCCATAGAGACAGAGAGAGACGCCTCGAGAGCCATCGAGATACATAGAGACCCATGTAGACATAGAGACTCATAGAGACAGAGAGAGAGACCCATCGAGAGCCATCGAGATACATAGAGACCCATATAGACATAGAGACCCATAGAGACAGAGAGAGACGCATCGATAGCCATCGAGATACAGAGATCCATATATACATAAAGACTCATAGAAACAGAGACCCATCGAGAGCCATCGAGATACACAGAGACCCATATAGACATAGAGACCCATAGAGACAGAGACCCATCGAGAGCCATCGAGATACATAGAGACCCATAGAGACAGAGAGAGACGCATCGAGAGCCATCGAGATTTATAGAGACCCATATAGACATAGAGACCCATATAGACAGAGAGACAGAGACCCATCGAGAGCCGAGATACATAGAGACCCATATCGACATAGAGACCCATAGAGACAGAGACCCACACTAAAACTAAACTGTTATTATTTTGCAGTGCAGTAACGCGCCCAGGGGGCTTGCAAACAGTGTTCACGCGTGTGTGAGCTGCGGACAGTGAGGTCACGTCAGGGTGAACAGGTGCAGACAAGAAGAGCAACAGAGAGGGACGACCAATTAAGATGCATAGTGGCGATTGGCTGGCTGCAAATGCAGGCAAGGTGGAGGCGCCTCGGAGTCTGCAGATGGAGGCGATAAGCCTTCGCGTGAGCGAAGGCTTAATGAGGGTCACCTGAGGTCTCTTAGTGAGGGCATATAAGCCGATGAGCGTAGAAACGCAGACGGGGTGGTTGGGGTGAAAGGCAAGGCAGAAGCCAAGAGAAGCTAGCGGAATCCCAAGGTGTGAGCGCGCGAAGACTAGCAGCAGAGAAGCTAGCAGAGTACATAGCGAGAGGCTAGCAGTAGAGAATCTAGCAGGCTATATAGCGAGAGGCTAGCAGTAGAGAATCTAGCAGGCTATATAGCGAGAGGCTAGCAGTAGAGAATCTAGCATAGTGTATAGCGAGAGGCGAGCAGTGGAGAAGCTATCTGTGTATATTAATAGGCTAGCAGTGGAGAGGGTAGCAGAGTATACGGTGAGAAGTTACCAGAGTGTATAGTAATTGGCTAGGAGTGGAGAGGCTATGAGAGTGAAAGGGAGCAGGCTAGCAGTGGAGAGGCTGGGAGAATGAAAGGGAGCAAGCTAGCAGTGGAGAGGCTGGGAGAGTGAAAGGGAGCAGGCTAGCAGTGGAGAGGCTGGGAGAGTGAAAGGGAGCAGGCTAGCAGTGGAGAGGCTGGGAGAGTAAAAGGGAGCAGGCTAGCGAGCGAGTGGAGGGAGCGGAGCAGCGTAGCAGGCGAGGAGCTTAATCGGGAGAGTTGCGACGGAGTTAGGTGGTGGTGTTGAACGCGAGGAGTTCTGTTCGAATAAAAGTGACACAGGAGAACAAGAGGACTTTGTCCGCGTTAAATAAAAACACTAACATTTTACCAAGTTTAAGGTCCACTCAGCTACTAAGTAGCTTCTTTTTCAGAAGCGGCCTGGCTAATCACACACAAACACAAAATTGATAGTACAGCCCAACCAAGGCAATTCCGCTGCATAAGCGACGACACGCCCAGCGTGTGAAATGTTAAATAAAAACGGGAAAAGAACAATATCAACAACATCATCATCAAAAACATAAGCAGAGTGTTAAGAAACTCACACAGGCAACGAAACTTCGGTGGATGCTTTTCGAACTGGGGTTGTTTTTTCTTGTCTGCCGTTTCGTGACTTTGCGCGGTACAATTTTGGTTTCCTCTTTCACTTCACTTACCACAGGTGACGTTAGGAGGGGTGGGTGGGTGTTTGGGTGGGGGAGTGGGTTAGCGAGTGAGTGTTTGGTTTAGTGAGTGGGTGGATGAGTGGGTTTGTGACTGGGTGGGTGGATGAGTAGGTGCTTGGGTACGTGAGTGTGGGTTGGTGAGTGATTGAGTTAGGTGAATTGATGGGTGAGTGAGTGGGTTAGCGGATGAGTGAGTATGTTGGTGAGTGATTGATTTAGTGGGTGAGTGAGTGGGTTACTGAGTGGGTGGGTCAGTGGGTGTTTGAGTGAGTGGGTTGGTGAGTGATTGAGTGGGTGGGTTAGTGAGTGAGTTGGTGAGTGAGTTATTGGGTGGGTGGGTGGGTGGCTCGGTGAGTGAGTCATTGAGTGGGTAGGTGGGTGAGTGAGTAATTTATTGAGTGGGTGGGTGAGTGGGTAGGTCGGTAAGTGAGTGATTGAGTGGGTAGGTGGGAGAGTGGGTTGGTTGGTGAGTGAGTGATTGAGTGGGTAGTTGGATGAGTGGGTGAGTAAGTGAGTGATTGAGAGGGTGAATATTGTCTGATTGGATTCTTCTGTAATTGGGAAAGACCCCCTGGGGGAGTTTTGATCTTCCACCAAGCTGCTCCCCACGCTTCCACCTCTAAACCTGCATCATCCACAGACTGCACAGCCCATGGCAACAGCAGCAGCAGCGGTTGAAACCCCTGATGTAAAATTGGCCTATACCAGAGAAAGCATTCAGTAGCTCGACCCGAGTTATGAGTGCTCTGATAACTTGGCATTTTCCTTGTACTGGTCACCTTTTGCCATTGGGCTCTGGTCTCACACTCGCACAGAGACAATGACATACAGAAGAAGGATGCCTCTGGTGTAGGCCGATGAGTTACTAAGACAATATAACCTAATTATTATCAGGGCATGGTTTGTTTGCATGTTCACCACAAGTCCTATTTGTGGTTAATGCAGACTTGATGATGCCTTGCAAGAACCATATCTACTTGGTAGTTTGAACATCTTAACACAACTCCTGTTTTATTACCTAGTCTATGTATGTAGTTGGTTCTATGGAGGCACACGCTGAACTCGGAGGCAACAGGGTTACTACATAAACGTACACTGGTTCTACTAGACCCCAACAGGGTAACTACTTAAACGGGTCAGGTCAGCGCTGCACTGACTGATCCACGATGCCGAGCGTGCCGAGCGTAACGACCGAAGACCAAGGACCGAAGAGACGTAGCACCGAGGGTTCTATTCCAGCAAAGAGCCGCGATCGCTCTCGGGACTTCTCTTTAATGCTCCCGATCATGGCCTTGCTCCGACTTTGGCCATGCCCCCTTCTGGATATTACCAGAAAGTTCTCGACCAAGCATCACGTTGGGCCCCCCGCTACCCTGTCCCGGTCACGTTCCCTCTCGGATTCACCAAGACTGTCACGTCCTTACTTGCCCTCTCTCAGACCATTACCAGAACTATGCCCCCTTGGGTCTGCTTGCATGCCATATGTAGAGGTGTTACGGGAGGGGGACACGCGGTTGTAGGGCGGTGGCCACAAACACGTCTGCTACGGCCACCACCCTGGGGGGCTGTGGGGGACGCTGTGATCCCTCCCAGCCCCACCCCCCAGTGAGGAACAGTATAAAAGGTGGGACCCGGACAGCTGAGAGTTCAGTTCGACCCAGCCAAGATGAAGAGCCATTGAAGAGAGAAGACCGACTAGCCAGACCCTGGAACTCCTTTGGCCCGCTGTCCTTTTGAGGACCGAGGCAAAGCAAGCCAGGGTGCGACACCGGAGCCGCGAGGGCCGATGTCCTTCTGAGGGCCGGACTCGTGTGGCTGGTGATCGGGGCCTGCGCCGAAGCTGGACCAGGTCAGATAGCCTCCTGAGAGAGGACCGGGATAGGGGGAACCAGGGAGCGAGCGTGGGCTAAAGCTCGGGTAACGTTCCCTCTGTAGAGTACGGGTGAAGAGGCCGTTGTCTCTTCGAGTGTCAGATTCGCCACTGTAATTAAAGCGTCTGTAATAAATACGTGTTGCCTCAAGTGAACAGTCTCCGACGTCAATAAGGCCACTACATAAGCGCATTGTTCAAACAAAACGCCAGATATAAGAGACCACGTGGAGATACCTCTGCGAATGGTCAACCGGTCGGCCCTGCCCCTAATTGGCCAGTACCCTCCACTCCAACTGTGAAACGTGCCTTCAATTATCTCAACGTGGGCATTTCACTGTCCTCTCCACATCACCATAGCCACCTGTTCCCAGTCAACTCAGCGTGTGCGTGTCTACTTAATGAATTATCTATACAGCACCCTACAGCCACCTGTTCTTAATTATCTCAACGTGTACACTATTACTATTTATCTTTACAGTCCTCTACAGTAGGTACAGTCGTGTAAAGTGTTGCATAGTGTAGAGTAGTGTATAGTGGTGTAGTGTATAGGAGTTCAGTGTGTAGTAGTGCATAGTAGTGTAGTATATTTCATAGTTCATTTATTTGGTATAGCCCTGTGAGCCATTCGGCTCTTGAATCGGGTGCAACCACAACAAACAAAAAACATGAACAAGAAAACATCTTAAAGTGATTATGTGACTGTGCAAACAGAAAATACAGGAAAAAATATCAAAATATTCCTAAAATAGCACCGTACACCAACGCTGTGTGCAAAAATCCCAGTGGGATGGAAGTCAAATAACTACAACAACAACCACAAGACAACTAAGATTAAGGCCATCAGTCTAACTCCGTACTACAATAAACAAAAACATGGCCAAAACAAAAAAAACTTTTCGAAATCACCAAAATAAAAGCCATAAATCCAATCTAACAGTGATCATAGGGACTGTGACCGAATTTTTTACAATAAAGTACATAAATAAATTATAACACCAAAATCTAGAGCCATATTTTAGGCCACTGAATAGCAGTGGCAGCTAGGGTTGTACAACTCCTCTAGAGCAGTTTTGAGTGAAGATCTCATAGGTAGTGATTCAAGTTGCAGTTTATTGGCAATAGCATTCCAGACCCTGGGGGCATCAATAGCAAAGGCCTTTCCTCCAGTTTTTGTATGGCAATAGGGAATGTGAAGCTGGTAAATGAGCGAAGACCTGAGGTCAAATTTGTTCTTTGAAACAGAGAGGAGATCCAGTAGGTAATCTGCGGAATTTTTTGTAAGTACATCGTGAATAAATAAGATCTGGTGCACAAGCCGTCGAACATTAAGAGACGTTAAGTTTGACCCAATGTAGAGATCACAGTGGTGAGTCCTATATGGGCAGTTCAATGCAAATCTTAAGGCCGAGTGATAGATGGAATCAAGCTTCTTCAGTACAGTACTTGGGGCTGATTTATACACGATGTCACAGTAGTCAAGTAGAGGCAGTATGGTAGCTTTTATCAATTCCAAACGGAACATTGGGGAGAAGCAGTGCTTGTGTCGATACAGAAAACCAATTTTTATTTTTGTCTTTTTACCAATATAATCAATGTGATCTTCAAAACTAAGTTTTGAATCCAGGATGACCCCAAGATACTTATAGATCTTGACTTGCTCTATTTGATAATTATTCAAGGAATGTAATTGGGGAAAAATAACTTCCTGCTTTAGTCCCGGAGAGAAGCATAGCACCTTGGTTTTGGAGGTATTCAGGACTAGTTTAAGAGAAACTAGCTGATGTTGTAGTTTGTTGAAATCACCCTGGAACTTAGCAATCACGTCATCCGGAGAGAGGCCAGCAGTAATCAGTATCGTGTCATCTGCAAAAAGATTTACCCTGGAATGATCCAGTTCAGTGCCCAAGTCATTGACATAAAGAGAGAACAAGAGGGGGCCGAGGATGGAACCCTGTGGAACCCCTTTTGTTATCTTAACACTGTTTGACCTCCAACCATCTGTGAATACAGTTTGGGTGCAAGAAAAGAGGTAATTTTTTAACCATTGTACTGTGTTCTCAGAAAAACCGAGGCAACTTAGTTTACTAAGCAGGGTGTTGTGGTCAACTGTATCAAAAGCTTTGGACAGGTCAAGAAAAAGACAGGCACAGTACTGCTTATTATCAAGGCTATTGTAAATTTGATTCAAAGAGTCTAATGCAGCAGATGTTGTGCTGTATTTTTTCTGGAACCCAGATTGTTTTAGATGTAGTAGATTGTTGGTGGACAGGAAACTGCTCATGTAGTGTGTATAGTGGTGTAGTGTATAGTAGTGCATAGCAGTGTAGTGTATAGTAGTTTGTTGTGTATAGTATAGTGGTGCAGTGTATAGTGATGCATTGTATAGTGGTCCCCTGTATAGTAGTGCATAGTGTATAGTCGTGCTTAGTGTTTAGTAGTGCATAGTGTATAGTCGTGTATAGTGTATGGTAGTCCATAGTGTATAGTAGTGTATAGTGTATAATCGTGCATGGTTTATCATTGTGCATAGTGTATGGTATAGAGTATAGTAGTGTAGTGTATAGCATAGTAGTGTATAGTGGTGTAGTCTATTGTAGAGTAGTGTAGTGTATAGAGTGTGATGGTGTATATTGGTGTAGTGTATAGTGTAGTGTATAGTAGTGTAGTGTATAGTAGTGTAGTGTATAGTCGTATATAGTGTATGGTAGTGCATAGTGTATGGTATAGTGTATAGTAGTGTAGAGTAGTTTAGTGTATCGTAGTGCATAGTGTATAGTCGTGTATAGTGCATGGTAGTGCATAGTGTATAGTAGAGCATAGTGAATTGTAGTGCATAGTGTATGCTATAGTGTATAGCAGTGTAATGTATAGTAGTGTAGTGTATAGCAGTGTAGTATATAGTGGTGTAGTGTAAAGTAGTGTATAGTGTGTGTTGTATAGTATTGTAGTGTATAGTAGTGTAGTGTATAGCAGTGCATAGTGTATAATAGTGCAGTGTATATTGTGTAGTGTATAGTAGTGTAGTGTATAGTAGTGTAGTGTATAGTAGTGTGGTTTGAGTTACACACCCAACATCGAGTTCGCACGGAAACATTGCCCAAACTATGCCGAGTCAACCTGTGACTGACATTGTATGAGGCGTGAATATTGCTGGGAGTGCGTCAGCATTGCCACGTGCTGGCAGCCTGCAAGGCGCGAGGCCTCCCCAGAGTGAGTCACAACGGGGCTCTCGCAAACCGAGGCCCCTCCGACAGCCGCTGACAAGCGACGAGCCCCTGGGCCAGCGTGGCCACAGCGTGCCCCAGCAGCAGATTGGAGCCTGGCGCGCAGACCACCTGCTGACTGGAGAGAGACAATAATGATGACTCGTGATTGATGCGAGAATCTTTTAATTGTCTTAATTTAATTTAATAATTATAACTTGTGATTAATGTGAGAATCTGTGCATTGTTTAAATTGAATTTACGAATTGATATTCAATTAATAAAACCGTGTAAAAAACTACTACTTTACGTTAATCTCACGCAAAATGGCTCCTGATAATTATTCTGTGTGCATAATGATCGTTACGATCATATTCATACCAATGTAATAATTAATTTTAATCTATTATTATTCATGAACAACACCCATTTTTTTACTGTGTATATATGCGTCTACGTGATGGGGCGTGGCAATTTTTGTCCAATCGGAGCGCTGCTGCCGCTTGTTAAGCCATTTTCCTCACCTAATCAGTGACGTGTGCCGTCTGTGTGTGAGGAGTGTAATTGTGAACAATGTAGCCACATCAGACATTAGTATAGGGACTCATCTACATAGGAACGAGTTAGGTTCCAGAGCTGTCTGGAACCTAAAGTCCCAACTTTAATCCTGTCAATCCCAAACATGTTGTACGGCATGCCCACTAAACACGGGGAATGGCTGCAGATGTACATGCCACTGGTTCTTCATGTTCTGCAGATGTACATTCCACTGGTTCTTCATGTTCTGCAGATGTAAATGCCACTGGTTCTTCACGGTCTGCAGATGTAAATGCCACTGGTTCTTCATGTTCTGTAGATGTAGATGCTACTGGTTCTTCACGTTCTGCAGATGTAGATGCCACTGGTTCTTCACATTCTGCAGATGTAGATGCCACCACGACCATCTATTGCATGGCGGTTGAACTTACGACCCTCGGTACGAACAGGAAACTGGACATACGGACAGGTTTGTTCGTTTCATCGCTTCACTGCAGCTCAAAGACTTAGTCCCTACAAGGCGCGCGTGTGTCTGTTGGTGAAGTTAGGAGATTGTCTTGGCTTTGTTTTCCTTTAGCAATTGAGGTAGATGTTCAAGGGTTTGCTGGCCTCTTCAAACCCTCAGAGACATTTGAGCAGTGTGTTGGGAGGTGTAACACTCTGCATGATGTTGTATATATTTTTATAAAATGCTATTAATACAACTTGCCCTAACCTTCACCAACTCTTACCATCAGAATTCCTATAAAAGTGCCCATGCAAATGTACGTACTCATCAATCCGTACTGGATGATCGTAAAAGCATCAATGGTCAAATCTCAGGATCACGTGATTAAACCAGAATGATAGGCAGCACCTCAAAGTGAATGCGTTCTCATCAAATGCGTATCAAATATCTAGAAAACGTCCACGATCGGATAAAAAAAATCACGTTATTAAAATAAAACAATAGGCTGTCTCGTGGTAACGTGACCATACACAATTCCCTTGTTGTGGTGTGTGAGGCGTGCAAGCTGGGATTCTTCTTGGCCCACAACCTGTACAGGGTACAGCTACAAATAGTGAGTGAGTGTAAAGTTCATGTTTCTCCTCCTTTCTTCTTTCCGTATAGACCCATAGAGACTTACAGAGACCCACAGAGACCCATAGAGACACAGAGCTGCTATCATTACGTGGCTTACACCCGGTTAAACAAACAACAACAAGCATAAATTTGTATTTGAACATTTTGGAGCCGCAACATCCCCTGGAAGCATCTTGCAGACATCAAGCGCGGGCTCGATGATCAGAGTCCTTTCTCAAAGATCTTGTGCATCCGCGGATACTTTGTCTTCAAATTCCAGAGCACCATCCAGAATTCTCTGGCCACACTGTCACCCTTATGGAACAGCATCGTTATCAGTTGAGATGCAGCTTCAAAGCCACCTTTATTTGTTTGAGTGGTCGAGACAGCCTGTGAATAAACATATCAAAAATAAAAAACGTTAAATTCGCATCACCTGAAGACGATTGCTTGTGTTGCGATCGAAACGTCGTGATATTTTTATTGTTTTTCTATCTACGTGGCTTTACCGAAAGACCCAAAGAATAGCATTGCATAATTGTTAAGAGACAGCGTCTTTGCCATGTTACTGAGTGGTATAATACTCACCACAGCTCTCAGCTTCCAACGCTGTTGCTGAGCACATTCTTAATCGAAATCACCAGCGCACTCGATATGCGCACCAAACGTACGTGTGTACGTGTGTGGCAGGGACGTACGGTCAGGGGAGGCAGGGGAGGCAGAGCCTTACCTGTCATACTCCAATGAAAATAGCTGTTATGATTTTTTTTCCACTGATCTGTGTTATAAATGTAATTTCTATACGATTCCAATCATTACACAGGCACGCCCTTATTGCCCGCGCTCCCTACAGTTTCTGAGGGGTTGCGCAATCAGAGGGGACGCTGAGCGCGTCGCTGCCTCACCTCTCGTCTCTCCCTGTATTTGCAGCGGAGCTCCGCAAATTTGGCGATTTAGACGATAAAAAATGATTGGAATCGTACAGAAATGACATAACACAGATCAGTGGAAAAATCTTAATTTTTATTTTATTATTTTTTTACTTTTCGTAACAGCTATTTTCATTGAAGCATGACAGGTGAGGCTCTGCCTCGCCTGCCTCCCCTGACCGCACGTCCCTGGTGTGTGGACGTTGCACTTCTTTGGCACCACCGTAAGTAGCCAAACTGCACCAATCGGAGGTATACGGGGGGAAGGACAACAAACTAAACAAAACAACAAGCAGCTGTTCTGAAGAAATTAGTTCATCAATCTAGATGATAAAAGTGCATCGCAGCTCACTGGTGGTTTCCGAATATCGAAAGGAAGAGACCCATAGGGACCGACAAAGATCCAGAGACTTATGTAGAGCCACAGAACCCCACAGAGACCCATAGAGACTCATACTCATATGTATGTACGTATGTTAAACTTCTTTCTGAAATTCAAGTGATCGCCTCTATTTATTTTGTTGAGTAATTTTTTTCATGAAACTGTGCGATGGCCAGATAAACTTAAACATAACTTATACAATTGCATTCGGTAGGGGGTTTTTTGACACAGAGATCCGCGGAAAATTTTATATTTTTTGGGATTATCCTCGACATTTGAATTATTCCCGCCACTAATGCGCAGATAATCGAGATTCTTACCGTTTAAACAACGAGAGATATAATAAGACATCTTTGATGGACTCACATTCATCTCGGCGAGTGTGAGGATCTCCTTCTCGAACAGCTTCATCAACACGGGCTGCACATCTCCCTGGATAGCCTCGACCAGCACCGTCATATTTTTCCGTATGCCATCGAACAGTTGCTCGTCCGAGCACGCGGTCAGTCTCCTGAAGGCCTCCTCCTTCGCCGCCGCCTCGCCACCAGGAGCGGTGCTGTATTGAACATTCACGTCATGTCCCGGAGCTTTTTCTGTTTCATAAGAGAGAGAGAAAAACACAAACACAGAGGTGGCAGGGGAAGGACGACAAATCATACAACCGCAACAACAAGCAGTTCTAAAAAAATGAGTTTTAAATGTAAACTAGTGGTGCAGTGTATCAGCGTGTAGTGTATAGCGCAGTGTATAGACTAGTGGTTTCCTGACCAGCGTGGCGAAGTCTCGTCAAAACCGACACTTTGTGGCCCTCAAACCATGTGGGGGAGGGTCCTCATCCAGCAGAACATGGACAAAGCTAAAACTGCTCAACTACATTTTTCTCTGTTTTACCAGGTGTAAAACCCCACGAGGCTGCTGTGTAGCTTTTGTTCAGAAGCGACCTCGCCATCACAAATCATAGCAGCTCAGCTACGTGGCTGATATCATCATCAACATTTTCACGTGGCAATTTTTTAGCAGCAGCCAAATACTTTTAAAATGCGTGGTGATGTTGATTATAAATGTGGAGGGATAAATGAACCAGGCAGTGACCACCACGGAGAGAATGAGAGGATTGTACTCATGAAAACCTCCTGCATACAAGGCGAGGTAGGTAACATGTCGCAGGCGTTGTACACGCGTGTTGCACGCGAGTGGTTGAACGCCACTCACCGCCATCTTCAGGATTATTCAGAGACTCTTCGCCGGTCTCGACCCCTCCGCGTTGGTCTCCATCGGGGCCATCGGGCTGCGTCGTGGTTTGCGATTCCCTTTGATCCGCATCGGAATCTGAGGCTGACGGATTTCCGTCGAGCAGACATCCAGTGGAGCCGGAGTCATCTTCACATCGACCAGAGGTGGGAGTGACGGATCGAGGTGGGTGGGAAAAGGAAAATGAAACATGTCAAAGTCAAGGTGGGTGCACCACTGCAGAGGAGGAGGCTCGTAAAGGACACTGCTACTGCTGGGGCCGTGCCAGGCTATGTGCATGGTTGAGGACGCTTACTTTGGGTTTGGGGGAAGCGAGTTGGGAGGGTATTCCAATAAAACGCGGCGAGTTGGCACAGTAGGGGGCACAGGTGGTGGTGGTGGTGCATCTGCAAGTAGCCATCGCAGTCTATCCATGGCACCTGCTAGGTCTGTCCCGTGACCTAATGCCAGCAGCAGCGAGAGCATTTCACCCTTTCACGTGGTAGGCTCAAAGTGCACCTAGCCTGGCACAGCCACCGCAGTGACGTCACCGCCCCTCACTATTTGAAACTATTTTTGTTTTACCAGGTAAGGCCTAATAAGTTTAATACGTAGTAGACTTTCGCGACTAATAACTTCCACAATACAGGTTTATTTGGTCAGATGGCGTAAATATATAAATATGTCGTTAAATCTGCCACCACCTGACACAGCCAATTAGTAAGGGTTGTCACGTAAACAGAACGTGCCAATTCGTTACTAGTATAGCACTAACCGGTGTGTTGGAGAGTAAATCCACAATATTTACCATCTGAGTACGAATTTTCGCCAGTAATTACAATCATCTGAATCAGGCGACACAGATTTGTGGAGAAATCCTCCTTTTACGTTCCTTCATCCCTCCCCCCAACCCGGCCGCACGTCACTCAAGAAGGGTTCACAAGTGACGCTATAACCTTTGGTTCTATTCGGTAAAGTCACGTAGGTAAAAAAATAAAATAACAAAATCACAACGTTTTGGCCACAACACAAGTGGCCTTCATCAGGTGAAGGGACCGTGCTGTCATGAGGACAGCGTTGGAGTGAAAACAACCAAGTCCAGGTCGTGTCCTTTAAGCTGTGTGGGAGGAAGCAAAACGCTTTGACAAAGGAATTAGCATAAAAATGAGCATGATGTATGTAGGAGGTGCATGGGCCATGACGGACCAGGAGCGGGTGGGGACCATGACAGACCACCAGCGGGGGGGGGGGGGGAGTAGAGTGAGTGAGTGGAGTGAGTGGAGTGAGTGAGTGCAGTGAGTGAGTGGAGTGAGTGAGTGAGTGGAGTGAGTGAGTGGAGTGAGTGAGTGGAGAGTGGAGTGAGTGAGTAGAGTGAGTGAGTGGAGTGAGTGGAGTGAGTGGAGTGAGTGAGTGGAGTGAGTGGAGTGAGTGAGTGGAGTGAGTGAGTGGAGAGTGGAGTGAGTGAGTGAGTGGAGTGAGTGAGTGGAGTGAGTGAGTGGAGTGAGTGAGTGGAGTGACTGAGTGAGTGGAGTGAGTGAGTGAGTGAGTGGAGTGAGTGAGTGGAGTGAGTGAGTGGAGAGAAATAAGCAGCTGTGAAAGTTTTGGATACTACTACTTGAAAATATTTACCGTACCATTGAAAATTAGTTTAATGTTTGGTTTGATTTAGAACATCTTTCCAATGATTGCTTAATTTGAAACCATCCTCTCGGTTGAAATTGTGTCTGTGTTTGTAAATCTGAATTGCCTCGTGGACAAATCTCTGATAAAAACCCGTGGGTTTGCAGAGAACCTTGGTATCGGAGAAAACTATATCGTGATCACCCACAGCGTTGTAACAGTGGTCAGCTACGGCAGAAGAATTCGTTCTGCTGTGTTTCAAATCTGATTTGTGCTCGCGAATTCGGTCAGAGACATGTCGCTTCGTCTCTCCGATATAGCAATCACCACAAGTGCAGCTCAATTTGTAAACCCCGCGGTACTGTCAGTCAGGAACGACATCCTTCACGGATGGGATCAGGTCACGGATTTTGTGTACTGTATTGAACCGGACCGGGATCTTGTGTTTGTTTAGAATGTTGGACCAACACCACCTGAACATTGAATTTAAACATGTACACCTGGACCTCAAGAAAAACAGATACTCTGACCGTACCATCCGCCAAGCTGTTTCTCCCTCCATACAGAAATAACCACTTGATACTCCGGTCAAAACCCTCACACTACCATATACAGCAGGCGTTACTAAAAAGATCTCCAAAATTCTAAACAAACACAAGATCCTGGTCAGGTTTGAAACACGGCAGAACGAATTCGTCTGCCGTAGCTGACCACTGTTACAACGCTGTGGGTGATCACGATATAGTTTTCTCCGATACCAAGGTTCTCTGCAAACCCACGGGTTTTTATCAGAGATTTGTCCACGAGGCAATTCAGATTTACAAACACAGACACAATTTCAACCGAGAGGATGGTTTCAAATTAAGCAATCATTGGAAAGATGTTCTAAATCAAACCAAACATTAAACTAATTTACAATGGTACAATATTTTTTTTTCAAGTAGTCGTATCCCAAACTATGACAGCTGCTTATTTCTATCCACTCAGTCACTCCACTCAGTCACTCCAATCATTCCACTCACTCCACTCACTCACTCCACTCACTCACTCCACTCACTCACTCACTCCACCCACTCACTCACTCCACCCACTCACTCCACTCACTCCACTCACTCACTCCACTCACTCACTCCACTCACTCACTCCACTCACTCCACTCACTCACTCACTCCACACACTCACTCACTCCACCCACTCACTCCACTCACTCCACTCACTCACTCACTCCACCCACTCACTCACTCCACCCACTCACTCCACTCACTCCACTCACTCCACTCACTCACTCCACCCACTCACTCCACCCACTCACTCCACTCACTCACTCCACTCACTCACTCCCCTCACTCTACTCCCCGCGCCCCCCCCCGCTGCTGGTCCATCATGGCCCATGCACCTCCTACATACATCATGCTCATTTTTATGCTAATTACTTTGCCAAAGCGTTTTGCTTACTCCCACACAGCTTAAAGGATGCGACCTGGACTTGGCTGTTTTCACTCCAACGCTGTCCTCATGACAGCACGGTCCCTTCACCTGATGAAGGCCACTTTTGTTGTGGCCAAAACGTCGTGATTTTTGCAATTTTATTTTTTTACCTATGTGACTTTACCGAATAGGACCAAAGAGTATGGATCCTTGCAGTCACGAAAGCTTCAAATCTAGAATTGACGCCAAAACATCTACCCCTCTATTTAAGGAACGAGAGGGGAGGATTCCTTTACAAATCTGCTGTCGCCTGATGAAGCTGGTTGTAATTAGTTGCGAAACGTCACGGTACTCAGATTGTAAATGTTGTGGATTTTCTCTCCAACACAATCGGTGTGCCGTACTAGTGCACTACACTATACACTAGTGCTGTACTAGTGACTAATCACACGTTCTATTTACGTGACAAACTTTACTAATTGGCTGTCAGGTGGTGAGCGGGTTTAACGACATATTTATATAGTTAAGCGATCTAACCCAAACAAACCTCTATTATGCAAGGCCCACTGAGCTATGTTGCTCATTTTCAAACGCGACCTGGTCGCAAAATGAGAGCTAAACGAAGTGGCTTATCATCCTTATCATCATTAGGTGCAAATTTATTGCAGTAGGTAAATCCTCTAAACGCGTGGTGATGTCCATTCAAAATGTGTAGGAAAAAAACGGAGGTGGACCCGGTGAAAAATCCACGCGACCACGGTGAGAGAGCCACTTTAAATCCAAATATACAGCAGGCATCAGGGTCGGGATCGAACCCACGGCCTCCTGCATACAAGGCGAGGTAGGTAACATGTCGCAGGCGTTGTACACGCATGTTACACGCGAGTGGTTGAACGCCACTCACCGCCATCTTCAGGATTATTCAGAGACTCTTCGCCGGTCTCGACCCCTCCGCGTTGGTCTCCATCGGGACCATCGGTCTGCGTCGTGGTTTGCGATTCCCATTGATCCGCATCGGAATCTGAGGCTGACGGATTTCCGTCGAGCAGACATCCAGTGGAGCCGGAGTCATCTTCACATCGACCAGAGGTGGGAGTGACGGATCGAGGTGGGTGGGAAAAGGAAAATGAAACATGTCAAAGTCAAGGTGGGTGCACCACTGCAGAGGAGGAGGCTCGTAAAGGACACTGCTACTGCTGGGGCCGTGCCAGGCTAGGTGCATGGTTGAGGACGCTTACTTTGGGTTTGGGGGAAGCGAGTTGGGGGGGTATTCCAATAAAACGCGGCGAGTTGGCACAGTAGGGGGCACAGGTGGTGGTGGTGCATCTGCGAGTAGCCATCGCAGTCAATCCATGGCACCTGCTAGGTCTGTCCCGTGACCTAATGCCAGCAGCAGCGAGAGCGTTTGACCCTTTCACGTGGTAGGCTCAAAGTGCACCTAGCCTGGCACAGCCACCGCAGTGACGTCACCGCCCCTCACTATTTGAAACTATTTTTGTTTTACCAGGTAAGGCCTACCAAGTTTAATACGAAGTAGACTTTCGCGACCAATAACTTCCACAATACAGGTTTATTGGGTCAGATGGCGTGAATATATAAATATGTCGTTAAACCCGCCACCACCTGACACAGCCAATCAGTGAGTGTTGTCACGTAAACAGAATGTGCAACTTCGTTACTAGTACAGCACTAACCGGTGTGTTGGAGAATAAATGCACATTAACAATCAGTAATTACAATCATCTGAATCAGGCGACAGCCGGATGTGTGGAGAAATCCTCCTGTTACGTTACTTCATCCTCCCACCTCGCCGCACGTCACTCAAGAAGGGTTCACAAGTGACGTCGTCACATCTACCCCTCTATTTAAGGAACGACAGGGGAGGATTTCTTTACAAATCTGCTGTCGCCTGATGAAGCTGGTTGTAATTAGTTGCGAAACGTCACGGTACTCAGATTGTAAATGTTGTGGATTTTCTCTCCAACACAATCGGTGTGCCGTACTAGTGCACTACACTATACACTAGTGCTGTACTAGTGACTAATCACACGTTCTATTTACGTGACAAACTTTACTAATTGGCTGTGTCAGGTGGTGGCACGTTTAACGACACAAATATATATTTAAGCGATCTAACCCAAACAAACCTCTATTATGCAAGGCCCACTAAGCTATGTTGCTCATTTTCAAACGCGACCTGGTCGCAAAATGAGAGCTAAACGAAGTGGCTTATCATCCTTATCATCATTAGGTGGAAATTTATTGCAGTAGGTAAATCCTCTAAACGCGTGGTGATGTCCATTCAAAATGTGTAGGAAAAAAACGGAGGTGGACCTGGTGAAAAATCCACGCGTCCACGGTGAGAGAGCCACTTAAAATCCAAATATACAGCAGGCATCAGGGTCGAGATCGAACCCACGGCCTCCTGCATACAAGGCGAGGTAGGTAACATGTCGTAGGCGTTGTACACGCATGTTACACGCGAGTGGTTGAACGCCACTCACCGCCATCTTCAGGATTATTCCGAGACTCTTCGCCGGTCTCGACCCCTCCGCGTTGGTCTCCATCGGGACCATCGGTCTGCGTCGTGGTTTGCGATTCCCTTTGATCCGCATCGGAATCTGAGGCTGACGGATTTCCGTCGAGCAGACATCCAGTGGAGCCGGAGTCATCTTCACATCGACCAGAGGTGGGAGTGACGGATCGAGGTGGGTGGGAAAAGGAAAATGAAACATGTCAAAGTCAAGGTGGGTGCACCACTGCAGAGGAGGAGGCTCGTAAAGGACACTGCTACTGCTGGGGCCGTGCCAGGCTAGGTGCATGGTTGAGGACGCTTACTTTGGGTTTGGGGGAAGCGAGTTGGGGGGGTATTCCAATAAAACGCGGCGAGTTGGCACAGTAGGGGGCACAGGTGGTGGTGGTGCATCTGCGAGTAGCCATCGCAGTCAATCCATGGCACCTGCTAGGTCTGTCCCGTGACCTAATGCCAGCAGCAGCGAGAGCGTTTGACCCTTTCACGTGGTAGGCTCAAAGTGCACCTAGCCTGGCACAGCCACCGCAGTGACGTCACCGCCCCTCACTATTTGAAACTATTTTTGTTTTACCAGGTAAGGCCTACCAAGTTTAATACGAAGTAGACTTTCGCGACCAATAACTTCCACCATACAGGTTTATTGGGTCAGATGGCGTGAATATATAAATATGTCGTTAAACCCGCCACCACCTGACACAGCCAATCAGTGAGTGTTGTCACGTAAACAGAACGTGCCACTTCGTTACTAGTACAGCACTAACCGGTGTGTTGGAGAATAAATGCACATTAACAATCAGTAATTACAATCATCTGAATCAGGCGACAGCCGGATGTGTGGAGAAATCCTCCTGTTACGTTACTTCATCCTCCCACCTCGCCGCACGTCACTCAAGAAGGGTTCACAAGTGACGTCGTCACATCTACCCCTCTATTTAAGGAACGACAGGGGAGGATTTCTTTACAAATCTGCTGTCGCCTGATGAAGCTGGTTGTAATTAGTTGCGAAACGTCACGGTACTCAGATTGTAAATGTTGTGGATTTTCTCTCCAACACAATCGGTGTGCCGTACTAGTGCACTACACTATACACTAGTGCTGTACTAGTGACTAATCACACGTTCTATTTACGTGACAAACTTTACTAATTGGCTGTGTCAGGTGGTGAGCGGGTTTAACGACATATTTATATAGTTAAGCGATCTAACCCAAACAAACCTCTATTATGCAAGGCCCACTGAGCTATGTTGCTCATTTTCAAACGCGACCTGGTCGCAAAATGAGAGCTAAACGAAGTGGCTTATCATCCTTATCATCATTAGGTGGAAATTTATTGCAGTAGGTAAATCCTCTAAACGCGTGGTGATGTCCATTCAAAATGTGTAGGAAAAAAACGGAGGTGGACCCGGTGAAAAATCCACGCGACCACGGTGAGAGAGCCACTTTAAATCCAAATATACAGCAGGCATCAGGGTCGGGATCGAACCCACGGCCTCCTGCATACAAGGCGAGGTAGGTAACATGTCGCAGGCGTTGTACACGCATGTTACACGCGAGTGGTTGAACGCCACTCACCGCCATCAACAGGATTATTCAGAGACTCTTCGCCGGTCTCGACCCCTCCGCGTTGGTCTCCATCGGGACCATCGGTCTGCGTCGTGGTTTGCGATTCCCTTTGATCCGCATCGGAATCTGAGGCTGACGGATTTCCGTCGAGCAGACATCCAGTGGAGCCGGAGTCATCTTCACATCGACCAGAGGTGGGAGTGACGGATCGAGGTGGGTGGGAAAAGGAAAATGAAACATGTCAAAGTCAAGGTGGGTGCGCCACTGCGGAGGAGGAGGCTCGTAAAGGACACTGCTACTGCTGGGGCCGTGCCAGGCTAGGTGCATGGTTGAGGACGCTTACTTTGGGTTTGGGGGGAGCGAGTTGGGAGGGTATTCCAATAAAACGCGGCGAGTTGGCACAGTAGGGGGCACAGGTGGTGGTGGTGCATCTGCGAGTAGCCATCGCAGTCAATCCATGGCACCTGCTAGGTCTGTCCCGTGACCTAATGCCAGCAGCAGCGAGAGCGTTTGACCCTTTCACGTGGTAGGCTCAAAGTGCACCTAGCCTGGCACAGCCACCGCAGTAACGTCACCGCCCCTCACTATTTGAAACTATTTTTGTTTTACCAGGTAAGGCCTACCAAGTTTAATACGTAGTAGACTTTCGCGACCAATAACTTCCACAATACAGGTTTATTTGGTCAGATGGCGTAAATATATGAATATGTCGTTAAACCCGCCACCACCTGACACAGCCAATCAGTGAGGGTTGTCACGTAAACAGAACGTGCCAATTCGTTACTAGTACAGCACTAACAAGTGTGTTGGAGAATAAATGCACAACATTAACAATCACTAATTACAATCATCTGAATCAGGCGACAGCCAGATTTGTGGAGAAATCCTCCTGTTACGTTACTTCATCCCCCCCCCCTCGCCGCACGTCACTCAAGAGGGGTTCACAAGTGACGTCGTCACATCTACCCCTCTATTTAAGGAACGACAGGGGAGGATTTCTTTACAAATCTGCTGTCGCCTGATGAAGCTGGTTGTAATTAGTTGCGAAACGTCACGGTACTCAGATTGTAAATGTTGTGGATTTTCTCTCCAACACAATCGGTGTGCCGTACTAGTGCACTACACTATACACTAGTGCTGTACTAGTGACTAATCACACGTTCTATTTACGTGACAAACTTTACTAATTGGCTGTGTCAGGTGGTGGCACGTTTAACGACACAAATATATATTAAGCGATCTAACCCAAACAAACCTCTATTATGCAAGGCCCACTGAGCTATGTTGCTCATTTTCAAACGCGACCTGGTCGCAAATGAGAGATAAACGAAGTGGCTTATCATGCTTATCATCATTAGGTGGAAATTTATTGCAGTAGGTAAATCCTCTAAACGCGTGGTGATGTCCATTCAAAATGTGTAGGGAAAAAACGGAGGTGGACCCGGTGAAAAATCCACGCGACCACGGTGAGAGAGCCACTTTAAATCCAAATATACAGCAGGCATCAGGGTCGGGATCGAACCCACGGCCTCCTGCATACAAGGCGAGGTAGGTAACATGTCGCAGGCGTTGTACACGCATGTTACACGCGAGTGGTTGAACGCCACTCACCGCCATCTTCAGGATTATTCAGAGACTCTTCGCCGGTCTCGACCCCTCCGCGTTGGTCTCCATCGGGACCATCGGTCTGCGTCGTGGTTTGCGATTCCCATTGATCCGCATCGGAATCTGAGGCTGACGGATTTCCGTCGAGCAGACATCCAGTGGAGCCGGAGTCATCTTCACATCGACCAGAGGTGGGAGTGACGGATCGAGGTGGGTGGGAAAAGGAAAATGAAACATGTCAAAGTCAAGGTGGGTGCACCACTGCAGAGGAGGAGGCTCGTAAAGGACACTGCTACTGCTGGGGCCGTGCCAGGCTAGGTGCATGGTTGAGGACGCTTACTTTGGGTTTGGGGGAAGCGAGTTGGGAGGGTATTCCAATAAAACGCGGCGAGTTGGCACAGTAGGGGGCACAGGTGGTGGTGGTGCATCTGCGAGTAGCCATCGCAGTCAATCCATGGCACCTGCTAGGTCTGTCCCGTGACCTAATGCCAGCAGCAGCGAGAGCGTTTGACCCTTTCACGTGGTAGGCTCAAAGTGCACCTAGCCTGGCACAGCCACCGCAGTGACGTCACCGCCCCTCACTATTTGAAACTATTTTTGTTTTACCAGGTAAGGCCTACCAAGTTTAATACGTAGTAGACTTTCGCGACCAATAACTTCCACAATACAGGTTTATTTGGTCAGATGGCGTAAATATATAAATATGTCGTTAAACCCGCCACCACCTGACACAGCCAATCAGTGAGGGTTGTCACGTAAACAGAACGTGCCAATTCGTTACTAGTACAGCACTAACAAGTGTGTTGGAGAATAAATGCACAACATTAACAATCAGTAATTACAATCATCTGAATCAGGCGACAGCCAGATTTGTGGAGAAATCCTCCTGTTACGTTACTTCATCCCCCCCCTCGCCGCACGTCACTCAAGAAGGGTTCACAAGTGACGTCGTCACATCTACCCCTCTATTTAAGGAACGACAGGGGAGGATTTCTTTACAAATCTGCTGTCGCCTGATGAAGCTGGTTGTAATTAGTTGCGAAACGTCACGGTACTCAGATTGTAAATGTTGTGGATTTTCTCTCCAACACAATCGGTGTGCCGTACTAGTGCACTACACTATACACTAGTGCTGTACTAGTGACTAATCACACGTTCTATTTACGTGACAAACTTTACTAATTGGCTGTCAGGTGGTGAGCGGGTTTAACGACACATTTATATAGTTAAGCGATCTAACCGAAACAAACCTCTATTATGCAAGGCCCACTGAGCTATGTTGCTCATTTTCAACGCGACCTGGTCGCAAAATGAGAGATAAACGAAGTGGCTTATCATCCTAATCATCATTAGGTGGAAATTTATTGCAGTAGGTAAATCCTCTAAACGCGTGGTGATGTCCATTCAAAATGTGTAGGAAAAAAAAGGAGGTGGACCCGGTGAAAAATCCACGCGTCCACGGTGAGAGAGCCACTTAAAATCCAAATATACAGCAGGCATCAGGGTCGAGATCGAACCCACGGCCTCCTGCATACAAGGCGAGGTAGGTAACATGTCGTAGGCGTTGTACACGCATGTTACACGCGAGTGGTTGAACGCCACTCACCGCCATCTTCAGGATTATTCAGAGACTCTTCGCCGGTCTCGACCCCTCCGCGTTGGTCTCCATCGGGACCATCGGTCTGCGTCGTGGTTTGCGATTCCCTTTGATCCGCATCGGAATCTGAGGCTGACGGATTTCCGTCGAGCAGACATCCAGTGGAGCCGGAGTCATCTTCACATCGACCAGAGGTGGGAGTGACGGATCGAGGTGGGTGGGAAAAGGAAAATGAAACATGTCAAAGTCAAGGTGGGTGCACCACTGCAGAGGAGGAGGCTCGTAAAGGACACTGCTACTGCTGGGGCCGTGCCAGGCTAGGTGCATGGTTGAGGACGCTTACTTTGGGTTTGGGGGGAGCGAGTTGGGAGGGTATTCCAATAAAACGCGGCGAGTTGGCACAGTAGGGGGCACAGGTGGTGGTGGTGCATCTGCGAGTAGCCATCGCAGTCAATCCATGGCACCTGCTAGGTCTGTCCCGTGACCTAATGCCAGCAGCAGCGAGAGCGTTTGACCC